GTAGGATTCTGAATTTTTTTTTTTCACGAAATATGAAGAAAACATGCCAAAGATTATTTTCCTCACTGATGTCATTCATAGTTATCAATATGGCAATATTTTTTTTTTTTCCTTTCTGTACTTTTTAGGAAATTGGGTACATGAAAAATGGAATTCTTGTGTTTTTGACTACCTTAATGTGGGATTTCATTTTCTATTTGATACTTTTAATCCAATCTAACATTTTTTTTCTTCCTGTTTAGTCCATCGCCTGGCGTACTCTCCCACAGAATATAACTTCTGTTGCTGTTTTCACAATTATTTATATACCTTTGAAGATATGAAATTTTAGATAAAACACTTATCTCCTTAAAAGTCATTTAACAGTCATGCAATAGCAATTATTTCATTTTAGGTAAAAAATACATCCAACAGGATAAAAGAGGTTTGTTTAGAGATTAAGGAAAGATATCAAGGACTGGTTGATAAAGGACAATTAGTCATAAAGGAAGACTTATTTCTCAATGCTAAAGATACAGACGAAGAAAAACATGCTTTCGTCAGAGAGTTTATCATAAAAGAAGCAAAGTGTCAGCCCCATTGGGAAGAGCTTTTCCCAAAGTCATGGCTTCATCTGTTGGATTTTATTGTTACTAAAAGAGAAGAAGGGCTTGACATTTTAACATTAAAAGAACTCAAGGAGTTTAATCAAAACTCCATTGTCCCTTTGACAGAGTTTTCTTTAGAAAACATGCTACAACGACAGCATGATATTGGCGACATTATCTTTTTCAATACCGATAAATTGAAGGACATTATAGTTTTAGACCCTTCGTTTCTAATAAGAGCTCTGAAAAGTCTAATTTCAACACGAGGCCATATGAAAAAAGCAGGAGTGAATGCAGAAATTTGGAAAAATCTATCAACTAAAGGTGTCGTATCAGAAGATGCAATAAAAGAAATATGGTCAAGCAATGAACTTCTAAACAAGCATGCAGATATCCTGTTGAATATTTTTCAACACACTGGACATACTTGTGAAACCTAAGTCATATCACGATGGAAAACAAGTGAATGTCCACCAGGAAAAAATATTTTTCATTCCCTGCATGATTGAAGAATTGAACAGTATTGAGAGAGTAGACAAATTTCTTGAAAATTCTAAAGAACTATACGAGTTTTATGACATCTCGATAAACCACGGAATACTTGTCCCACCCGCTATTGGATACAGATTGCTTTCTTTCTGTACGTCTATGTGGCCAGTGGTAGAAGGTAGATTGTTCACCGCCTGTGGATTTTTCCGATTAGATCTTCATCATATTCTGATATTAAAGATATATCCTTCAAACATTCGAGTATACGTTGTACACAGGAGGTCCAAAAGAAGCATCAGTGCTGCTCTCTACAACAGTATCAATAGGACACTTATTTCTTTTCTAGAGGCCTGTTTACTCCAATTTCACAACAATTTAGCTGTTATCAACGGATGTCGGGAAATGGTAAGGTTTTTTTTTTATTCCTATCATTTTTAGTTTAAACTATTTTGATATCTCGTTTTGGAAATTTTATTTCAGGAAAAAATAACATTTGTTGAGGCCAGTGTGGTTAATTTTAATGGATTGTTACCAAGGACCAATTTATTTCTATAGTAGTTTGATTCTCCTTTTTTGTTCGATTACTTTCTGTTCGTTTTATTTCATTCCATTTATATGCTTCAAACGTGAATTATAAACGTCCTGCTTTTTCATCTACTAATTAATGTTATTATGATCCGGTCAAGTTTTACTGGATGACGTTTATTACTTGGTGACTTTTTTAATAATTCACTTCTTTTAAAAATAGGGAGATGATGCTTTATCTCATGGAATCCCAAATTGCAACGAAAACTGTTAGGGTACGTTCAATATACCACAAAAGATTGGAAACCTTAAACTGAACTCTACATATAAGAAACTAATGAGTATTGTGTCAACATATGCTTATAGGTATTGGGAATACTTGCCATGGGAAAAATGTAGAAGAAGTTGAACTGTCACGGCTAGTTAGGTACTTGAGTCCAACTCATTTATACCCTCTTGGTGTGGAACTTGGAATCTTAAGCAGAGAAATCGAAAGAATAGAAAAGGATCACAAATCCTCTATTGACCAGATGTTTTTCGTCCTATTGGAATGGCGCAAAAAATTACATTCTTCATTTTCTGACCTTGAAGAAGCCTTGAAGCGATGCAATATTGACATCCATGTACTGTGTGAGGTAATGAAATGTAACTATATAAAATGAGTTAAATGTTATACATATACGAGGGTTGTTCAATAGGTTTATACGAATGTCATCTTAAATAATAAAAGTACATTACACATACTGTATTAAACCAATCCTGTTATTAAATCAATCCTGCAAGGCATTCCTTGTTACCATTTTGACATGTCATACTGTAAACATATAAAATTTGGCGGTGTATTCTTTTTAGCGATTTTGGTGGAGAGCAGAGTCCGCTAATTCGAGTACATCGCTAAATGTCTTGTACATAAACTTTTATTATAACTAGTAACTTCTGACAGCGCTAATTCAAATCTGCGCTAACTTGTTGAAAATTGAATTTCCATTCAAGCAAAATGTAATACATTAAAAGTAGTTCTTTGTATCAAAAACAGAAAACATGAAACATACTCATCTTTAAGGATGCTTCAAAGACATTGCCGTGTATATAATTTCCAGTGACATATCTGACATTGCACTTATTTTTAGGTCACCTGAGTAACTCAGGTGACCTATTGCTATCCGTTTTCGTCCGTCGTCGTGTGTCGTGCGTCGTGTGTTAACATTTGAACATTTTCAGCTTCTTCTCTGAAACCACTTAACCAATTTCAACCAAATTTTGTATACAGCATCTATGGGTGAAGGGGAACAAAAATTGTGAATTTCATGGTCCCTGCCCCCCTGGGGCCTGGGGGTGGGGCAAAAACCACTTAAATTATTGCAATCTTTAAAAATCTTCTTCTTTACTCCTGGACATCAAGCAGTCAAACTGTTTGCAGGATTGTTATCAGCATTGAGTCCTTTACCAAAATTGTGAAATTCATGGCCCTGGGGTCAGGGGTTCTAGTGCTAGGGCGGGGCTATATAGATTATATAGTAAAAATGCATGATTTTCTTTGAAAATCTTCTTCTCTGCTCCTAGGTATAAGATAAACTAACCAAGCACTTAGTTATAATGAGCAAGAGTGCCTCTTCCAAAATTGTGAATTTTATGACCCCGGGTCAGGGGTTCTGGTGTTAGGGCGGGGCTCTATTGGTTATGTAGTGAAAATGCATATATTCTTTGAAAATCTTCTTCTCTACTTCTGGGTATTAAATAAACTAACTAAGCACATACTTATGATGAGCAAGAGTGCCTCTTTCAAAATTGTGAATTTTATGACCCCAGGGTCAAGGGTTTTGGTGTTAGGGCGGGGCTCTATTGGTTATATAGTGAAAGTGCATTTTTTCTTTGAAAATCTTCTTCTCTACTTGGGGGTATTAAATAAACTAACTAAGTCCTTAGTTATAATGAGCAAGAGTGCCTCTTTCAAAATTGTGAATTTTGTGGCCCCAGGGTGGGATTATGGTGTTGGGTGGGGGCCCTATTGATTATAGTGAAAATGCATATATTCTTTGAAAATCTTCTTCTCTACTTCTGGGTATTAAATAAACTAACTAAGCACATACTTATGATGAGCAAGACTGCCTTCTTCCAAATTTTAATTTTATGACCCCAGGGTCAGGGGTTTTGGTGTTAGGGCGGCTATTTTTGGTTATATAGTGAAAATGCATTTATTCTTTGAAAATCTTCTTCTCTACTTCTGGGTATTGAATAAACTAACTAATTACATAGTTATGATGAGAAAGAGTGCCTCTTCCAAAATTGTGAATTTTGTGGCCCCAGGGTCAGGGTGGGGCCCTATTGAATATATGGTCAAAATGCATTAATTCTTTGAAAATCTCTTCTCTGCTCCTGGGTTTTAAATAAACTAACCAAGCACATAGTTATGATGAGCAAGAATGCCTCTTCCAAAATTGTTAATTTTATGACCCCAGGGTCAGGGGTTCTGGTGTTAGGTTGAGGCTCTATTGTTTATACAGTTTAAAAAGCATTTATTCTTTGGAAATCTTCTTCTCTGCTCCTGGGTATTAAATAAACTAACTAAGCACATAGTTATGATGAGCAAGAGTGCCTCTTTCAAAATTGTGAATTTTGTGACCCCAGGGTCAGGGGTTCTGGTGTTAGGGCGGGGCTCTATTGATCATATAGTGAATATGCATGAATTCTTTGAAAATCTTCTTCTCTGCTTCTGGGTATTAGATAAACTATGTAATTGAATAGTAAAGTTGATCTAGAGTGCCTCTTTCAAAATTGTTATTTTTCTGACCCCAGGGTCAGGGGTTCTGGTGTAAGGACAGGGGTTTTATTGGTTATAAAGTGAAAATGCATTTATTCTTTGAAATTCTTTCCTTTGCTTCTGTGTTTTATAATGCCTATGATCCAAATATATATATTCATGATGAAGAAAGGGGCACCTAGCAAAATGGCTATTTTTTATGCCCCCTTCCCTGGGTCGAGGGTGAGGGGGATACAAAGTCTAAAATTAATTAATGCTTGGAAATTTGCTCTTTGGTGTTCATCAACCATTTTATGATAAAATTTGCAAAATTTTGAAGTGTGACCCAGGATCAGTGGTTCCTTTTTGGGATGAGGTGTAGAACTGGTAATGAAAGTGGAAGTGTATTTTCTTTTAATTGTACTCTGATCTACCTCTGGGTTTTAAGTAAACAGAGTCAGCATGCTAAGTCTAAATTATTATAAGCAATGGTACCTCTTTCTTCAAAATTGTAAATTGCAATTCCATGGCCTCTGGTTTATAACATGAAACCAAATTTAATTGTTTGAAAGTTGTTGCACAATACTTCCAGGAGACCTACAAGGCCGTGGGCCTCTTGTTATTTTTCTGTGTGTTCAAGTTTCTTACATTACCCAAATCTAGCAAATATAGGTGATAAAAAATTTCTGTAAACTATTTTTTTTCAAAATCGGTGTTGTTTATGTTATTCATGCTTTTGCAAATAATAATTGTTAATAATTGATAATAAAATCATTGGCACACCTTTATTAGCTCTTCTGAGCCAAAGGCTCAAAGAGCTAATGCTATGGCCATTTGTGCGGGGGTGCTCGTCGTGCGGTGTGCGGTGTGCGTTAACTTTTTCCGATATGGGCCATAACTCAGAACCCCTTGGCCAATCAGTGTCAAATTCTCACGGGTATCCTTGGCCCAAGGGCTACCATTTATAAAATTAGGGTTGGACCCTAAAACAAGGGGAGATAATCCGGGAAAACAAAACCAAAAGTACTGGTTGCTAAAAATCTTCTTCTCCAGAACCACCAGGCAGATTTTCACCAAACTACATACAAGGATCAGGATATGTTGAAGATTAAAAATTGTTCAAGGCATGACCCTGGCGCAAAGGGCGTGGTCTCAAGGTCACTTTAAAGTTGACCTAAATTTACAATTAATGAAAATGTCTATATTTTGCTTACTATCAGGACTAGAATCACAAATCTTGTAAGTTGATGCATGTTAGGACTTCAGCATCATATTAACTCAAAAAGAAGGTCACAATAACCATCTTTTTTAAATTTGCGGGGTATTTGTTTTCAAATGGATTTGAAGGCATATTTTGGACACTTTAAGGCCTATGATCATCGAACTTTGAGTCAGTTGATGCATCTTGGGTCCTTGAACAAAGTAAACTTAAAAATAGGTCACCATGACCTACTTTTTTGAACTTTATGACCTATCCTTTTTAAAACATTTAATCTCATTATTTCAGGCACTGAAAGGGTTGGTCATACAATTTTTGTAAGTTGCTGTTGTTGGGACCTAAAAACATATTTAAGCAAAAGTAGATCACTGTGACCTACTTTTAGAATTTACAGGCATTTGTTTTCAATTGTTTAAAAGGCATATTTTAATTTGTAGCTCAAACCTACGATCATCAAACTTGGGTCAGGCGATGCATCTTGGGACTCTGAAAAAGGTCGACCAAAATATAGGTCACGGTAACCTACTTTTGACATTTTATGGCTATATTTAAGTATCTTAGGTATTTATTGGCTTAGAATATCAAATTTGTGAGTTGATGCATCTTGGGTTTTGGAATATGACCAAAAATTAGGTCAAATACCTCTTCGACATTTTATTGCTTATTTAATATCTTGGTACTTATTGGCTTAAAAATCAAACTTTGTCAGTTGATGCATCTTAGGTTTGCGGAGAATGTGGACCAAAAAAATAGGTCACAGTGACCTACTTTTCACATTTTATGGCTATATTTATGTATCTCTAGTACTTATTGGTTTAGAATCATCATACTTTGTCAGTTGATGCATCATGGGTTTTCGGAGAATTTCGACCAAAAAGTAAGTCAATGTGACCTACTTTTGAATATCTCAGGATTTATTGGCTTAGAATTATCAAACTTGGTCAGCAGATGCATCTTGGGACTCTAAAAAATGTCAACCGAAATGTAGGTCACGATGACCTACATTTTATGGCTATATTGAAGTACCTGGTTTTTCCGCTACTTATTGGTTTAGAATCATCAAACTTTGTCAGTTGATGCATCTTGGGGTTTTTGGGGAAAGTTAAAAAAGAGGTCACGGTGAATTTTTTGGCTATATTTAATATCTTAGGTATTTATCGGCTTAGAATTATAAAACTCTGTCAGTTGATGCATTTTGTGTTTTCCAAAAATGAAGACTAAAAAATAGTCCTAATTGGCTAAGAATCATCAAACTTTGTCAGGTGATGCAACCTGGGTTCGAATACTTAGGGTTAGAGGCTTCAAAACAAGTGATAGGTTGTATAATTTATCAGAAGAGCGATTAAAGGGCCCCTTTGGGGCCCCTTGTTCTTAGTGAATGGTAAAGATGTTACCCTCCCCCTTGGCGTCTCATACATCTCTGAAATATGGGGGGTTAGGATTGTATGCCCTGTTCACCAAAATTTTTTCCGAATTCACATACTGTTGGTTATCTTCACCTGTGCTTTAATAATCACTTTTTTTTCATTTTTTAGGAATCATTTTCTTATATGTGTCATTCCTTTTTTCATTCAACCTAAACGTTTAAAAGATACACAAATATTAGCGGGAATCTATTGTAATGAAGTCTATTTCAATTATAAAACTGCATTTCGTACCATTGACACTTATGGGTTAGAATACTGAGTTTTTGTGTGTGTTTTTTTTTTGAAATTGTAAAATATTCGATCTCGTTATAAAAGGTGTTTTTCTATTTCTAGGTCTGCAAAACTAATGTCTTTGAAACAGATGGTATGTATACTATGATTTATCTTGAGATTTCTACTTAGGTCATCATATTATTTCTCTAGATTGAGGAAATTCGCATTATAATATATGAACATATTTAGAAAGTTAAATTTTTATTTTTTTTTTTTTCAATTATTTTCTTGCTTTAAGCATAAAGACCTTTTTTGGAATGCACTCAATATCTCACGAAAAGAATTATTCAATTTTATCTAATTTGAATTTGTTATTACGTACGCTTGCTTCAAGAGCTTTTAGCTCTTCTGAGCCAAAGGCTCAAAGAGCTAATGCTATGGCCATTTGTGCGGTGTGCGGTGTGCGTTAACTTTTTAGAATATGGGCCATAACTCAAGAACCCTTTGGCCAATCAGTACCAAATTTGCCACAGGGGGTCCTTGGCCCAAGGGCTACCATTTATACTAAAATAAGGGTTTGGACCCTAAAACAAGGGGAGATAATCAGGAAAACAAAACAAAAAGTACTAGTTGCCAAAAAATCTTCTTCTCCAGAACGGCCCGGCAGATTTTCACCAAACTTACATACAAGGATCAGGATATGTTGAAGATTAAAAATTGTTCAAGGCATGACCCTGGGGCAAAGGGCGTGGTCTCAAGGTCACTTTAAAGTTGACCTAAATTTACAATTAATAAAAATGTCTATATTTTGCTTACTATAAGGACTAGGATCATCAAATCTTGTAAGTTGATGCATCTTAGGACTTCACATCACGTTAACTCAAAAGTAGGTCACGGTGACCTACTTTTTAAATTTTGCGGGCATTTGTTTTCAAATTGATTTGAAGGCATATTTTGGACACTTTAAGGTCTATGATCATGAAACTTAGTCAGTTGATGCATCTTGGGTCGTTGAAAAACGTCAACTTAAAAGTAGGTCACCGTGACCTACTTTTTGAACTTTATGACTTAACCTTTTTAAAACATTTAATCCCATTATTTCAGGCACTGAAAGGGTTAGAATCATCAGATCTTGTAAGTTGCTGCATCTTGGGACCTAAAAACATATTTAAGCAAAAGTAGATCACTGTGACCTACTTTTAGAATTTTGCTAGCATATGTTTTTAAATTGTGTAAAAGGCATATTTTGATTCCCTTCAGACCTAAAATCATCAAACTTGGTCAGGAGATGCATCTTGGGACTCTAAATAATGTGTAGACCAAAATGTAGGTCACGGTGACCTACTTTCAGCATTTTATGGCTATATTTAAATATCTAAGGTATTTATTGGCTTAGAATCATCAAACTTTGTGAGTTGATGCATCTTGGGTTTTCGAAGAGTTGCGACCAAAAATTAGGTCACGGTGACCTACTTTCGGCATTTTATGGCTATATTTAAGTATCTCCGGTACTTATTGGGTTAGAATCATCAAATTTTGTCAGTTGATGCATCTTGGGTTTTCGAAGAGTGTCGACCAAAAATTAGGTCACGGTGACCTACTTTCTTCATTTTATGGCTATATTTAAGTATCTCCGGTACTTATTGGCTTAGAATCATCAAACTTTGTGAGTTGATGCATCTTGGGTTTTCGGAGAGTGTCGACCAAAAATTAGGTCACAGTGACCTACTTTCGACATTTTATGGCTATATTTAAGTATCTCCCGTACTTATTGGCTTAGAATCATCAAACTTTGTCAGTTGATGCATCTTGGATTTTCGGAGAGTGACGTCTAAAAAGTAGGTCAAGATGACCTACTTTTGAATATCTCAGGTATTTATTGGCTTAGAATCATCAAACTTAGTCAGCAGATGCATCTTTGGACTCTGAAAAATCTCCACTAAAATGTAGGTCATGGTGACCTACTTTTGACATTTTTTGGCTATATTTAAGTATCTCTGGTACTTACTGGCTTAGAATCAACAAACTATGTCTGTTGATGCATCTTGGGTTTTCAGAGAATGTCAACCAAAAATCAGGTCACGGTGACCTACTTTCTTCATTTTATGGCTATATTTAAGTATCTTAGGTATTTATTGGCTTAGAATAATCAAACTGTGTCAGTTGAGACATCTTGGGTTTTCCAAGAATGTATACCAAGAAGTAGTCCTAATTGGCTAAGAATCATCAAACTTTGTCAGGTGATGCAACTTTGGTCTTAGGATACTTAGGGTTAGAGGCTTCAAATACAAGTGATAGGTTGTACAATTTATCAGAAGAGCGATTCAAGGCCCTTGGGCCTCTTGTTTAATTTAAAATACTAGACTAGAGGTTTGTGCCATTAAAGCAATTGTACACTATGATCACCAAAATATCCAAAAGCAGTAGTTATTTAATAAACTTCTAAGCAGATTATATCCCCTAACTTATCAATGTGAAAAAGACAACGAAGGCAAAATTATAACATGTATGGTGTTGTCATTCGACAGGATCCTGAGTGTACTTGAAAAAGCAAACAAATCATTAATACTCGTATGCCATGACATTTCTCAAGAGAAATTTTCTGGTCAAAAGGTATTATCACATCTATATCTTCTGTTAATGATCTGTTTAATTTTTACTGTTTCAATTTGTAAAATAACTGTGGACTAATTTCAAACAATTTTTTCACAAACCATCACTCGTTGAGAAATTGTTCGATGTAAATATAGTTTATTGGACACCGTCTTTTTTAAAATTGACGAGATTAAAAATAGCATTTGATAGCAAAATAACGACCCTAAAAATATTTTCCCTCTGTCGCATTCTACAATAAGTTATTTTTTGCATTTCTCTAAAAAAAGAAAAAACAATAAAACAACGCAATACGACAATACCTAATACACTATCAAAATAGCATGACAATGATTCTACTACACATTTATTCTACGACTTATTGATAATTGAGAATAATAAAGCATTACTTTTTTAAGATTTATAATTATTATTATTATTCAACATTTATAAAGCGCCCTATATATGAAAACTCTAGGGCGCTGTACAAGCATTATATGTAAACAAAAATTAAATAAATATGACTTAAACATTTACACCAGTCGTAAATATATATACAAATTTAAAGTATCCAATATTCATAAAAAAACTAACACAGATGATAATAAAAAAATTAAATGTTGTGTCCAAAAAATAATAAAAGGCTTAAATACACAATTTGAAAATCAGAAGCCTTAAAAAAATGACAATTACATTGTTGAGATGTGGGTTATACACTTTAAGAACTTGAATAAATGAAGGAAACAAAACAAAATGAAATTTTAACAAAATTTAATAAACAAAACAAAAGTAAATTGTACAACAAAAGAAACAAATTAAAAAATATAGAAACGAATTGTCTATCAGCAGCACGTCAGTCCTGGAAGAATGTTCTTTAAAACGTAGTCAATTAATCACCACACCCTTGCTGGAGATTTGAGTTCCGGTTTTTGAATTTCCTCTGATAAACGTGTTTTCTTTCACAAATTAAATTGAATATTATAACTTTCACAAGTATCACATATATCACATAATAAACTTTCACAATGCCGTCTAGATTAACTTTGGTTTGAATCCAGATCATTCAAACAGGAGATTTCATTATAACACATAACTTTAAATTACTGGTCCGGATGTGTACGTCAGGGCTGCCGTACTCTTTCGTACTCTCTCACACAGTTGCCGCTGTTACTGCAAAACCATTACACATTGCAAGCCTCTCCCTGTCACCCTGGACTGCCGACTGGCTATTGTCAATGTAATTAGCTGTAGTACCCTGCCCAAGACCTGATAATTACGAAACGGGACAAAAGCCAAAGGAAATAGGACCCTGGGGAAAAATATAATAAAACAACCATACTAAACGTGCAGACTCACACAAGAAACATATTTTACAAATTGTATTTTCAAATACCTGATGAAGTTTGAGTACCCGCCCAGGCTACTTCATCATAACAACAAGCCAAACAGGTCTTATCTCGGGCCGCGGCTTCCCGCGTACTACCCGAACACGAGCTCTCAGGTAGATAAAATTACACATCGAGGGGCTCCCCACAGGATAAATAACAATATTTACACTCACGCACTAGGGGTGTCCTACGGGATTAAATTTAGTTTGTTACAAACCTCCCCCTTTTGAAGACTAAAGCACCATTTAGTCCAACCTATTTACAAACTAAATACATAGAAATCAACCATATGTACAAACTGGAAATATTCACCATTGACCTTGATTTACTCTTGCTCTTCACTCGACCTTGACAACGCATCTGCAATAACGTTCTGATTACCTGGAACATACCGAACTGTAAAACAAAACTCCTGCAATAGAAGACTCCATCTCAAAAGCCTCTGATTTGACAGTTTTGATCTCTGTAACCACGTCAATGGAGCATGATCAGTTTCAATAACAAACTGCTTACCTTCTAAATACACTCGGAGTGTTTTGACAGCCCAGATAATTGCATAGCATTCTTTTTCAATCACCGCATAGTTTTTTCTGCTGCTGTAAACTTTTTACTCAAAAAGAATATTGGGTGCTTACCAGTGTCGAACTCTTGTTTGAGGACTGCACCTGCTCCAGTAGCACTTGCATCTGTACGCAAGACAAACATTCGACTAAAATACTGGTTCACATGCCAACTTACCTTTAAGTTCCTTGAAAGCAGTATCAAGATTATCTGTCCATTTTATTTTGTGTGGTGAATTCTTTTTGGTCAAGTCTGTGAGTGGTAGGGCAAGACTAGAAAAATTAGGAATAAACTTCCTGTAAAATCCAATGAGACCCAAAAATGACCTTACCTTCTTTTTGGTGTTTGGGACCAGAATGTTTTGAATTGCTTGCACCTTTGACAACAATGGCTTTATCTTACCGTCACCTACCATATGTCCGAGGAAACTGACCTCACCAAACCCCAATTTGCACTTTGACGGTCGGGCTGCTAAATTTGCATTCTGCAACGCTGTAAAAATCTCTCTCAAATGCACCAAGTGATCTTCCCAGGAATCGCTGAAAACACCAATGTCATCTATAAAAGCTTCTGCATAGTTTTCATGACCTTCAAGGACTTTACTCACCAATCTCACAAAAGTTGCGGGAGCATTTACCATCCCAAATGGCATTACCGTGAAACTGAAATGACCAAACGGTGTAACAAAAGCACTTTTCTGTTTTGCCTCATCATCCAGTGGCACTTGCCAATAACCCTTAGTAAGATCCAACTTACTGATATACTTAGCTCTACTGATTTTGTTTAGTATATCATCCATTCTTGGCATCGGACGAGGATCAAACACAGTTACCTTATTTAGATCCCTATAATCAACGCAGAATCTAAGGGTGTCGTCATTCTTTTTGATGAGTACAATAGGCGCTGAGTAAGGGCTTTCCGTCTCCTCTATGATTCCCATCTCTTTCATCTGCTTGATTTCCGCCTTTACCTTTTCCTGTAGCGCATACGGAATGGAATAAGGTTTCTTCTGGATTGGTTCCTCGGTTGTCGTTTTAATGGTGTGCTGGATGTAGGACGTTTTCTTTGGAACATCTGTAAATACATTCTCAAATTCTTCTACTAACCTTTTGAGTTGTCGTTTCTGCTCTTCTGACAGTTCTGACGATATCTCAACATTATCTGATGATTCTGTCTGTTGAAGGATTGGTGCTCTATGGTTAGTGCAATCGTCCTCATCTGAAAAATTTGGTTTTGCATCCATACATGCCAAAACTTCATTGCTTTTCGGACACTTCTCTTCCGAATCTCTGCTAAGCCACTCTTTCAACATGTTGACATGGTAAACCGGTTCTTTATTCTTGGATATTCTTACCTTGTAATCCACTGGACTTACCTTTTTCACTACTTCATACGGACCTTTCCATTGCGCCATCAGCTTAGATGTGCTAGTTGGAAGAAGTACAAGAACTTTCTGACCTACCTCAAATGTACGAGTTCTCGCCTTTTTGTCGTAGTACATCTTTTGTTTCTTTTTCGCGAGTCTCTCTGAATCTTTAACCAAATCTCTAATGTTCTGCATTCTCTCTCTCGTCTCCAGAATATAGGACAACACTGAAGCCTGTTCGACTGTAGGTTCCTCCCACTGCTCTTTCAAGATTGCTAAGGGCCCCCTAACATGTCTACCATAGAGCAATTCAAAGGGAGAATACCCAGTTGTCTCATTTGGCACCTCTCTGTATGCAAAAAGGACGTAAGGCAAATGAACATCCCATCTGTGAGGTTCAGAAGAAGCATATGCCTTCAGCATTTTCTTCAAAGTCCCATTAAATTTTTCCACTAACCCATTTGCTTGTGGATGGTAAGGGGTAGTTGTTAATTTTCTTACCTGAAGTAACTTACACAATTCAGTCATCAGTGTGGACATAAAATTGGTACCCTGGTCCGACAGAATTTCATTAGGCACACCTACCCTAGAAAACAGCTCTATCAAAGTGTTGGCCACTGTCTCTGCTTCTTGGTTTTTCAAAGGAAATGCTTCCGGATACCGTGTTGAGTAGTCCATACAAACCAAGATGTAACGATTTTTCTTCTCCGTCAGTGGAAGAGGTCCAACAAAATCGATGGCTATTCTTGAGAATGGTTCCTCAATGGGTGGAATAGGAATGAGTGGAGCTTTTGGAGTTCGACCTTTTGGTGTTCCCTTTTGACAAATAGAACAAGATTTGCAGAATCGAGATATGTCAATATACATTCCAGGCCAAAAGAAATGTTGCATAATACGCTGCCTGGTTTTCTTGTTACCTAAATGTCCTGCTAGTGGAGTGTCATGAGCCAGGGACATTACCTTTGACCTCATTGTCTTTGGTATGACGATCTGGGAAAATTTCTCACCAGAATCTTTCTGAAATATTCTATACAGTAAACCATCCTGTTTCTGAAAGTAAGACTTACCTTCTTGAGTATCGTCTTGTGCCATACTCAGTGCAGATTTCAAACTGTCATCTGATTCCTGAAGTTCTACCAACTTATCTCTGCTGCACCACAATTGTTTCAAAGATTCATCCTCTGAATCCTCTTCTGTTGCTTTTCTCTGAGAACTACTATTACCTTGCTCCAATTTGGCCTGCAAACGTGTCTGAACTGCAGCACAAGTGTTCTCGTCATCTCCATCCCTCTTGACTTCTTTTTCGTCCTCCATTGGTTTGAGTATGCTAACATTATTACCAATAATTACATCAGCAAAAGGAGAATCAAGGACAAGGGCATGTACCTTACCTGATACATAAGGAGTCTTCAAATCTACCATTGCCTCATCACAGTTTCTTTGAGATCCATCAGCCAGAGTTATCACTCTTGAACGTCCTGTTTTATCAGAGTCTGAAATAAACTTATTACGTACAAATACAGTAGAGCATCCGGTATCTCGTAAGACTGCAACTGGTTGATCACTCACCTGGCCCTTTACTAAATCCAAACCCAATGCTGCCGATGTTTCAATTACTGGCGACTCGTTATCAACTCCGGACAACTTAAGAATCACCCTACCCTTGGTTGTATCTTGTATATTGTCTACAACTTTAGACTCAGACTTATCTAAACACAAACCAACATTTTCTGACCTTTTCTCAGGCTTTGTACCTCTCTGACCTTTACTGTCTTGACCCTTTGACTGAGTTCTCTTAAGAAAACAGTTGGCTGCAATATGTCCTACTCTATCACAAATGAAACACTTTCTGCTATCCCCTGCATTAAAGTGAGACTTGAGATTTGACTTACCATCTTGAGAATTTGTCGAACCAAACTTGTTTGGCTTTCCCGTCGACCTATTCCCTGTACTGTGAAATTGGACACTATTGCCACTAAGATACTTACTCTTATGTGCCGCCTGAAATGCATTAGACAACGCAACAACCTCCTCAATAGACTTTGGGTCATGCTCCAGAATCCACAACTGTAAGTCTTTTGGACAACTTCTAACAACCTGTTCTCTCAAGACCATATCATACAACTTGCCAAAATCTGAATCTATTTTCTCACGTTCACACCAGTGATTGAGGTACCTTTCTACCCTAACAACAAAATCTTTAAATGACTCATCATTTGACTGCTTACCCTGACGAAATTTTTCCCTGTAATCTTCAGAAGTAAGCTCATATCTCTTGAGAATAGCTGTTTTGATAATCTCATAGTTATCACTATCTGCATCCGACAACCTTGAATACGCTTCCAAAGCCTTACCTGCTAACATAGGAACTAAGCGTATAGCCCACTGGGATTTATGCCATTTCTGCAACCCAGCTATCTTTTCAAACGACCGTAAAAAGACATCAGGGTCCTGTCCCTCCTCAAACTTAGGTAACTTAACAGGTGGGCATTTAATCTCATGGGGTTGAGACCCCCCAATTTTAGCATGTTCTAACTCTTTTTCTCTATAGCTAACTCTCGTAATTTCACATCTCTTTCTACCTCTAACTTTGCACTTTCTCTCTGCGCCTGACGCTCTTCTCTCTCTTGCGCCCATCTCTCCCTTTCGAGCTCTCTCTTTGATTCCTGCTCCTGATGCCACATCTCGAGACATTCTTTTACGTTTGTACCCTTTTCAATTAAGTCAGCCATCCATTCTGGCATACCAGACATTGTGAAAGTTTGTGAACCTGAAACACAAAAGCAAAATTAATAATAGAAACAAACTTGCAAAAAAAAAAATATTTTCTCTATTTACCCAAGCTCAGATGTATCCCACCGCTGCCACCAAATTGTTGAGATGTGGGTTATACACTTTAAGAACTTGAATAAATGAAGGAAACAAAACAAAATGAAATTTTAACAAAATTTAATAAACAAAACAAAAGTAAATTGTACAACAAAAGAAACAAATTAAAAAATATAGAAATGAATCGTCTATCAGCAGCACGTCAGTCCTGGAAGAATGTTCTTTAAAACGTAGTCAATTAATCACCACACCCTTGCTGGAGGTTTGAGTTCCGGTTTTTGAATTTCCTCTGATAAACGGGTTTTCTTTCACAAATTAAATTGAATATTATAACTTTCACAAGTATCACATATATCACATAATTAACTTTCACAATGCCGTCTAGCTTAACTTTGGTTTGAATTTATATTATTTTAAACAGGAGATTTCATTATAACACATAACTTAAAATTGCTGGTCCGGATGTGTCCGTCAGGGCTGCCGTACTCTTTCGTATTCTCTCACACAGTTGCCGCTGTTACTGCAAAACCATTACCCTCTCCCTGGCACCCTGGACTGCCGACTGGCTATTGTCAATGTAATTAGCTGTAGTACCCCGCCCAAGACCTGATAATTACGAAACGGGACAAAAGCCAAAGGAAATAGGACCCTGGGGAAAAATATAATAAAACAACCATACTAAACGTGCAGACTCACACAAGAAACCATATTTTACAAATTGTATTTTCAAATATCTGATGTAGTTTGAGTACCCGCCCAGGCTACTTCATCATAACAACAAGCCAAACAGGTCTTATCTCGGCTGTGACTTCCCGGGTACTACCCGAACACGAGCTCTCAGGTAGATAAAATTACACATCGAGGGGCTCCCCACAGGATAAATAACAATATTTACACTAACGCACTAGGGGTATCCTACGGGATTAAATTTAGTTTGTTATATACATTAATGACAAGTACGAGGGGTTCTCAAAAAGTTCGTGGACTAGCGTCATAAATTTTAAACCGTTTTATGCACATCAATGAATTTTAAAATATCTAGTTAGCATAATCTTTTTTATCTAGAGAATAAACCATAAATCATTAATTTTATTTTTCAATAAATTAGTAATGTTTCTGTTAGCATTGGTGTGTCCAGACAGCGCAACCTCTAACACGACGTTTTTGCAGTCTATGTGTAACTGAGAAAAACTCTTTTGATATGATCATTTGACGTCCAAAAATCCCGTTAATTTAGGTATTTGTCCGGACGCAATTATTCCATAAAATATGAAATTTTCATTTAATTCTGGAAGTTCTATGAAATTTTATCATTCTAGTGACGTCAAAAGGAGGGAAGGGTTTTAGCTTCCAACATTCCAAGTTTTGCCCTTGAAAAACTGGTATAGACCTAAATTATGTTGACACTGGCTACAGAGAAATAATATGAATATAGAGTACTTGTCTTTAAATGTCAAAATAGATTCAGAGAGAAAAAGAATACACAGTTATTGTCGATTTGCAGTAAAGGTGTGAAAGTTCAATCACGTCAAAAAATGGTGTTGACCATGTGTTGTGCATACTGAACTATCGAAAGCAAATTATGTCGGGACAAGCGCGGATCTCTCCCAATGCATTGATACATTTGGAATATAATATTCATTGAAGGCTGAACTTTACATTGTAACGTGACGAAACAAAGCGGGTTTAAATCCTTAATCAGCTGTGTAATCCTAGAAATGTGCATATTTATTTTTTTATTCAGCACAAACTAATTTGTTTTCTTTCATTAGTCATGAAAAACCTTCCATCTGACATACTGGATAAAGTCTTATCCGACCAGGAGTTGGATGAAATAGCAGGATACGTTGGACGAGAATATTTACATCTGTGCCTTCAGTTAGGCCACACAGTTAGCCACATAGAACGAGTCATGGATGAAAAAAAATATAATTTTCTCGAGGGAATTCGTGTGCTTTTGCGAGACTGGAGAAAAAGTGGTCACTTTAAACCAACAGTAAAGATGCTAGGGTGCGCATGGTTACAATGTGGGATGGATTTCAATGTATTTTACAACTTGTTTGTAAAGCAAGAGAAAGATGTATGGCAACTGCCTTTTATATTTTAAAAAAAATGGGAGAACAAGAAACAATAGTTTAAATGGGATTTTTTGAAATATATTTTTATTTATCATAAAACACATATTTCTTATTATCAACGTTGTATTCTATTTTTTCTTGATATATATAGAACGATGCATGATGCTTCAGAAGTATATTTTTATATTATATCAAAATGCAAAATAAACAATTTAGTATAAATTAATTTTTTTTGCAGAATTAACATCAAGTATGTACGTACGGGATTCAAACAGAATATATAGAAAAAAAATCTTGAAAAAAATAATCTAATCAAAAACCCAAACATTTTGATATGTTGACTATTATTTATAAAAATTACATAATAATTATTATATACTTGGAAATTTTACATTCTGATTAAAGTTTCTTCTTAGAAAACCCAAAAATAAGTAGCCAAGTTTTAATGAAAGCCATTCCCTGTATTTTAATTTCAAGTTTTTCAATCAGTTACATGTGCAATAGATAGAAGAAAAAATAGTAAACGGGGTTTTAGGTATTTATAAGTGTTAATGTCCCTCCCAAAATTAACCAGATGGGAAAAAACGAATCTTTGTTTTTTTTTTTTTGTTTTTTTTTTTTTCTTCCTGAAAGTTAAATTGAGGCATTGCCAAAAAAAGTGGAAGTGGGCTACATGTACACTTGTTGATTACATATAAAATAAATCTACAGTTTGAGTTCCTGATATCCAAGTTTAGTGAACCAGAAACATCAGAAACCTCAGTAATCATGAATTTATAGATTCTCAATTCTGGAATGCTGGATTATTTACTGCACTAATATCATAAACATGTAGTGTTATAAATTTTTTGCATGTACCTTGTGTAAAAAATGTAAATGTATCGGCCATGTAGGAATTATTTTTAGTTAAGTCAAAAGGACGTTTATATAAAGGTGATTGTTTTATCTAAGTGCAAGGACTTGAGTGTTTATAGCCCTTCTCAACAAAGGAAAAAAATGAGTGTACTTGTCTGCATATCTATCTACAAGGATGTTTTTTTAACTTCTTCCCATTCTTAAAGTTTTGTTTATTTGTGATGAAAATATCCCAACAAAATACCGTTTCTTTGTATATGAACTTATTTGAACTTCTTGAAAGGTTTAGATGATCCAAATTATTTATTGATCAAAAACTGAATATATTGCAAACATATGAATAAACGCCATCAGTATTTGTAGAAATTATATTTTACTGTTTGCAAAATATGCTAGAGCAATATGCATACATGAACATCGATTCATTAAAAGATTGAAAAGATCAATGTAAAGCTATGAATGTATGAATATCGGCAACTTTTTATTTATATTTCAACAGAAACTTACCACTTGGAAACACATATTATGCTAACTTACTATGTCGCTTTTTATCAATATTAATTCTTTACTATATAATATATAGACAGAGTTTCCCTTCATTTTATTGTTTCCTTTTTATACAATATTAATGATAAGGCAAAATAGAGTATCACTGATCCTGTAAAAAATAATGATCAAAAGTCTGCACTGTCATATTAGTCATATGATGCTAGTATACAGGGATCTAATTGTCTTTTTACATTCGAATTTTTTTAATTGTTTTTTCGGTGAGACGACTTGCAGAATATACTAAAAACATATTGTGAGTTTGAATGCCAACATAAACTTGTCTTAAACATTGTCAGTTTAAAAAATTCAAAATCAGGCCGTGACTCTTCTGTACTCTGTAAAAATGTTTCTGAATTTCCGCATCTATTATTCGCTGTTTTATTTTTTTTTAAAGAATGTTTAATTAATCTATCAGAAATAGCCCAAAATACATTTCCCCCAAAACGTGGTTTAGTATTTGACTTAGAATAAATGTAAAAACATATCTATTTTAATATACGTTCCTATATATCTGTTATTGAATGCTTTTCATATTTATAGCTTTGTGTACTGAATTTATGTATATATCTTTGCGTACCAGATATACGAATTCATGTACATGTATATATCTTTTTGCACATAATTAACATATATATTTATACCTTTGGTACGAAGTATTGTGTTATATTTTAATGTACTGCATTTTCTTTTTCAATAATAAATTTACCATCAATCATCATTACCTTTTATTGTAATGTATCTCCTTGTATATGGAAGTCTTCAGTCTATAATCGGATAGGTAGAAACTGCTCCTTCCCCAAGCGCTGGACACCTTGGTGGGAAAGTTTTGGTCCTTTGAATGAGACCTTCCAAACAGAGTCGGGAGGAGTAGGCACAAAAAGGAACATTCACTGCTTAACAAACCTGAGTGCCTATCAAAGGTCTTAATTTGAAGCACATAGCCGGTAAATGGTGACGTGTCTATTTAAGCGGAAATTCTTTAACGAAACCTTTTAATATACAAACAATCAATCAACAATATACACTTATTTAATGACTACGAGGTAAACAGTCAAAATGTTGTCCCGAGGTAGTGGGGGGAGACCTTGGTAAACTGTTGCCCGAGGCGAAGGCCGAGGGCAACAGTTTCCCAGGTCTCCCCTACTACCGAAATTATATTCATCTTATTTGTTGGAAGCAAGTTTTCACAACCGTTCATTTAATTTCAACAAAATTTTCGCAAATATGCTAATAAATGTTTTTTAAAATCTTGAATTGAAATATATCAAGTTACAATGCCTAAAATCATTTTTTCAATTTAAAGTGACCAAGTGTGGTATGTTCATTGATCCCTTTAAATTGTAGACGCTATTTAAATCCGTTTCAGATCATATCGAGCGACTTCACCGACTTTATCAAAATATTATTAAAAATTGAAATGCTGAGGGTGTAAAATGACAAGCGATACACAAAATACATTCAGTGGATTTTGTTTGAATATGAATAGGTTCAGTGACTAAATATTTACATACTTGATCGATTCTAAATGATTGCATGATACTTGAATAATCAATAAATGTTTATAAGTGGAAAGTTTGAAACTGCACAGAAGAACAATTATACCTCATCACTGAACAAGGAATCTGTAGAATGTTTTACAATGAAAAGTATATATGTTGATCGTTCATTAAAGCGTGAAATTAATCTCAGAAAATAATAAATTATCAGACCTTGCCTCATTTTTCCTTTGGATCAACCCCACAATTCCTTTTTGTGAATGCATGGTTTTACTTTCCTTGACGAAATTGGAACGTTTTTTATTTGAAGTCCCTATCTCCTATGGTTCAAAAGTTATGGGAAAAAGTGTAAAAAGCTATTTTTAGCATATAGGTCACAGTCAAGGTCACAAGATCATTGACCTTGTTGTTTTTTGAAAGGACTTTATCGATGGAGTATGCATACCAAATATGAAGTCCCTATCTCCTATGGCTCAAAAGTTATGACAAACAGTGTAAAAAGCTATTTTTAGCATATAGGTCACAGTCAAGGTCACAAATTCATTGACCTTGATGTCATTTGAAAGGACTCTATTAGTGGAGTATGCATACCAAATATGAAGTCTCTATCTCTTATTGTTCAAAAGTCATGGCGAAGGTTAAAGTTGACAACAGACAGAAAGACAAACAGACAGGACAAAAAAATATACGCCCGGGATCCATCGATCAGGGCGCATAAAAATAACCCTTACAGAAAAAAACTAATGGAAACTTATATGTGTTTTATTAGCTCTTCTGAGCCAAAGGCTCAAAGAGCTAATGCTATGGCCATTTGTGCGGTGTGCTGTGTGCGTTAACTTTTTAAGATATGGGCCATAACTCAAGAACCCCTTGGCCAATCATTGTCAAATTTGTTACAGGGTATCCTTGGCCCAAGGGCTACCATTTATACTAAAACAAGGGTTGGGACCCTAAAACAAGGGGAGATAATCAGGAAAATAGAACCAAAAGTACTGGTTGCTAAAAAATCTTCTACTCCAGAACCACCAGGCAGATTTTCACCAAACTTGCATACAAGGTTCAGGATATGTTGAAGATTAAAAGTTGTTCAATGCATGACCATTGGGCAAAGTGCGTGGTCTCAAAGTCACTTCAGAGTTGACCAAAATTTACAATTAATAAAAACGTTGATATTTTGCTTACTGTAAACACTAGGATCATCAAATCTTGTAAGTTGATGCATCTTAGGACTTCACATCATGTTCACACAAAAGTAAGTCACGGTGACCTACTTCTTAAATTTTACGGGCTTTTGTTTTCAATTGATTTGGAGGCATTTTTGGACACTTTAAGGCCTAT